ACAGTTCACTCATTACTTACCTTAAAATATTTGTAGTCTTAATGTAGGGTCAGAGGTGAGTAAACAAGATAAAACGAATAAATGAGAGAGAGAGGCAGTGAGTACACGAGAGAGGACAGGCGTGAAGTTATGTAAACAAATCAGACATATGCGAGTTTTGTAAACAAACCTCGAACATTCTGGTTTGTGTACAGGTTACATGTGTACAAGTTGTCTCTACGTTGGATATGTCAGCATAGTTGATCCCTACATGTGTTGCGTAGCTATCTGAGTATCAAGTTAGTACCCATATGTTTTACTACCACCCTTTGGTAGGCTCAGTGACTAGAATGTGTGTGTCACGTGCGCTGTTGTGAGCCTTCGCGCCGGGTCTTCTCATTCCCGTTAGACCTACAAGCAGCTATAGGGCAGGGGGGGACTCCTTTCACATTCTGGCAATATAGTGTTACCATCCAAATGTGGTTTTTCCAACCTTCATATCACTACCCAACCCCCTACTACAAATGGTGCCAGCAGAGGGCTTGTAATTCTGACGATTACAGCGATTTCTTGAGATAAATTTCTACTGAGCCGGTCGCCATTTCCTGCTTAGGCCTGTGGGCGCTCACAGCCCAGTTAACTGTCCAAATGTAGATCTACATTCTCTCGCCCAGTGCTCAGAATATTTTGAAGAAAAAAAATTTTTTTTTGTTTTTTTTTTTCTTTAAATGAAGGACATATTTTTTACATAAAGTAATGTAAGAAAAATTTTTTTAGAGTCTGTACTTACGGAGATATAAGGCCGCAAAGTCGGCGATTTTCACTCACTTGATGGCAACATGAGGTGCTGCCGCTTGCAGAAATCCTACATTTTTTTCGATTTTTCCGTTTTTTTTTTTAATTTTCACATTTTTTTCTGGTGTGATAATAATTTTTATAGCAGATCTTTTGATTTGATAGCCAATTGTCGTTTAGACACAAATATTATATACAAAATTATTGATCATATTATCACAAACACACTTGTACACACTTTTTAGGTGAATTGTATACCTGGCTGAATCACATTCTATTTTCTACAATATATCAATTTTCATGTCCCATCTTTTTCTAGTACTCGGGAATTTGATCCCCATGAAACTGGATTCAAAAGTGCCACCCCACGACTGAAAAGGGAATCGGTTCCTTCCGTTTTTGGATCACTTTGAGTGTAGACACACAACACACTTTTTCTAGAATATTCTTTTAGGGGGTGGGGCTGTTTGGACCAGTTGTGACAATTAGTAGGATTCGGTCTGGCTTTTTCCCCCTCTGGTTGTGGGGGGGGACGGGTTGGGTGGTCGGGGTCACTATTGAGGGCAGTATGGTGGGGGTCCATATTTTTTTGCTATCTGTTGATGACTTTGGGCGGGATTCTGCTAATAATTTTTTTTCCATCTTTATTCATAATTTTGAAGCATTGACATTGCAGTGCAAAAGGGTGGAAAAATTTTATATCCCATTTGCGACCCTACCACACAGTCAAAAAACCCTATCATCATGTCCATTTTTTCGATATTGTTTGTATAGTACAAAACAGCTGGTTTACAATGCTTTTTTGGTCTCCCGTTCACTCTATTTGTACATTCGTTTCTGTGGATGGTTGATGGCAATGTACGCCTTTTTGCATGCCCTCATTCCTATGTATTGGCAGAAATGCTTGCACTGCATTTTCACCTTTCTTCCACTAAACCCTTTGGCATATTTTTTTCTATTTTTTTTCACTGTTCCACATATATCTATTTTCACACAAGGGAAACAGTGGCAAGAGTTTATACCAGTTGTTTTGGGGACATGTAGGGCCCTTCCAAGGTAGGGTTCCATCACTTGCAAAAACACACCGAAATCCCCAACATCCCCTGTCTCATCCACGGGTTTTTTCCCGTGTAAACAATGAATCCAGCACCAGCCACTCTACAGTCACACAACATTTTTATACCAAAAGCGATTATTTTGCTCTATTTTTGCTTGAATAACAAAATTCAAGGACCGTCGACAAAAAGTTCTTGATGGAAAAATAGGCATGAATTTCTTCTCATAAAAACACCCCGGGATTTTGTATAAAGGTCATTTCTGTTTGACGTATTCCTGTTGAGAATGCAATTTTTTTGTAGCAACAGAGGAATCTGTTGCAGGGAAGGGGGTCAGGGAAGAGGAGTACTGATAAAGTAGTTGGGGACCAGTAATGTTTATGTTGTGCTTTAGTTGAGGCATAGCTGACATCCCAAGGGAATAAATACATTTCACCACAGTTGTATCTTTCCTTCGCGCACCCCATGACGATTCTGCAACCTCGGGTTTTGTCCATTTTCCCTTTTAGTAACTGTTTGTCGGGGTGACAAAAAGTTCATTAGGGGCCCTAAAAGTATAATTGAAAATGCCAAACTCGTAGACTCATTCATTTTAGGAATGGTTTAAGAACCGACATGTTTTAAAATTTGAACATGTGCAACTCTTGGGTATCTTTATTGAGGAAAAGTTTTGCCCCACAGTGGCTTTTATCAGTCCATCAAAGGAAAAGAAAACAGAGGAGAATGAGGTAAACATCCCCAAACCCTTTATCGATGTGGGGGCAGTCCATCAATCTTGAATAGTAGGCATACTGCAGAGAAGGAGCTTAAAACCATTGGCGGAGAGGTGCAGCAGTCAAGGGGGTGTCACATTTGTTTAATGTGGAAAGGTCATCCAAAATTTGGGAAGGAAGAATTCCCCAAGAAAAAAATCCCAAAAAGTTCCCGGTCTGACAGGTTTTTAATAAATGTCGTTCCTGAAACCATTATCTACAAACCTGTCAGACACGCAACTTCTTGGATCTTAATACTTTGGGGTTCTTCGCTTGGCCCAATTTTTGGGCACGACCACTTCCCCAAATTTAACAAATGTGACCCACCCATACTGCGCACCTCTCCTGCCAACGGTTGATAAGCTCCTTTTTCCCCACGTAAGCCTATTCTATTCAAGATTGATGGATGACCCATCGACCAAGGGTTAGGGGCGATTACCCATTTTCCTCCTTTCTTTAAATTTTCCTTTTTAGGGCTGAGAACCACTGTGTGGCGAAACGTTTCCCCAATAAAAAATACCAAGAGTTGCACATGTTCTAATTATCAGACTCATTCAGATGGGGCTTTTTGGGGATGCCCCTTCCCCTGGGATCAAAATCGAAAAAGGGTTGAGCATGAATTTTTCTTTTTCCCGTTCCCTTCACTGTCAGATGGCTAGGGGACCGAGGCATGGGGGGTTGGGACAGGAGGGGGGATGGGAGTGGAGGCAGCACAGGGTGAGGGGGGTGCAGGAAACCTTTTTTCTGCCCACCCAAAACGCCCCACGGACCAGGCACCAGCCACCCACCACCCCTTCATCCTCCATGCCTGCATATTCACCTTCATGACATATACAAACGTTGTGGGTTTTCGTCGGACCTCCCATGCCCTTGGGCACTGCTATGGCACACGCCTGAAAAAGGCAACAACGCTAAAGGGAGCTTCACTGGGGGAAAAATTATTCACATCACTTTACATTCAAATATGATAATTTCTCTTGGTAGTAGCCTCTGAGTTTTAAAAACTGGGAACCCCCAAAGGGGCTTGGCTGAGGGGGCGGGAGGCCCACGGCCCCACCAGAGGTGCTTGGGTAAGGTCGGGTGGCCACACTGGCCCCTCAAGGGGCTTTGGGTAGGGGGCTTGCAGGCCCCACTGGCCACCCCAGAGGGGATAGGCTGAGGGTCATCTGGGTTATCGTCAATATTCTCACTAATTCCTTGATCATTCGTGGCCACATCAGTCTCAAATCCACTAAACTGATGTTCTGTATCACTTTCCTCGAATAAGAGAGTGTTAATATGCTGAGGCATGAGTGAATCACGAGGGTTTGCCATGGTGTTGACCCTAGATGGAGCTGAAACTAACTGGTGCTCCCATGTGGTACCGCGTGGTGCCCAATTTTTTTCTTGCAGCGCATGCTGAGTGTGCAGACCCATTCTTTCATGTCTAGGTCGCTCAGGCCTATCACGCCAAATTTGAAGGCAGGAAAAATAAAACGTAGATCTGTGTTCGGAGTGGTAGTGGTAAGAATGTAGATCTACATTTGGACAGTTTAGGGGTTAATGAATGTACTGTATATGTATTTTATCTCTCTGGGGTACTTAAATGTCATAGTATATTATGTGTGGGTGGGGTGGGGTGGGTTGACTTGGCTGGCTACCATACCTCCCACACCTGACTTCCTACAAACAAATATGGCTCACCTCTCACCCTACATTAAGACTACAAATATTTTAAGGTACACTCTGAGTGTATTTTATGTTTTATTGTTTTTAATGCCTAGTTCTATTGCTAACTAATATATGTTAGTGTAAACTTGTTATCTGGCATTTATATGCATTTATAAGTGGAAAAAATGGCATTCTGCTTTCCGGCAATGTCCGCTTTCTGGCAGTAGCCTGGAACCTAACATGCCATAAAAGTGGGGCCTTACTGTATAGTGGTCTCTTGGGTTAAGATGATTTCGAGTTAGCATAGTTTTGAATTGCCATAGCTTTGAGAGTTATGATAGTCTTGGCTCATTCTATATGAGCTTTGGCTCATTCTTTAGATATTAATCCTAACATTTGCTGCTTTTCAAAGCAATCTTATTTCTCATTGGAGCTGAGAACTTTGATTAGATATGAGCAATTTAATTCCTTTCTGGTCTCCTTTTGTTTATAATAGGGAATGTTTATTTTAGAAAATTTGCATAGTATGTGGGACCACATGAACACTAAAAAACACTGTCAGTGTGAAGTTGTGAATTGTTCCACTCATAATATTGTGGGCTAGTTGTGAATTGTTCCAGTCACTGTATTGTGAGTTAGTTGTGAATTGTTCCAGTCATGGTATTGTGGGTTAGTTGTGAATTGTTCTAGTCATGGTATTGTGGGCTAGTTGTGAATTGTTTCAGTCGTGGTATTATGGATTTTATTCTAACTTGTTCCACTGTTTCAGGTTCGGCCAACATCACTACACGCATCATCACTACGAAACCGAGAGATCGAACGCCTGATCACGAAACAGCGCCGGATGACACTGGATGACATGAGGGATCGGGGCAGAGTAGATGCCCACGTCAACCACTCCAGCATCTGGGGGGAAGCATTCTCAACTGGGACGAAACCATGGCAGCAGCAGAGTGACAAAAGGGGAGGAGCAATCTCAGCTGGGACAGCACCACAACAACAGTGGAATGACAGCAGGGAGCACATTTCCTCCCGGCAAAAACCTCGACTGTGGCAGAAAGATATGAGGAGGGAAGTGTTTTCGACCAGGACAAAACCTCGACAATTACAGAATGACACTCAGAACAGAGTTGAAGTGTTCTCAAACTACTGCCGCCACTGTGGTGGGCGGAAGTGAGATTATCTAGATCAGTACTCTGGAGTCCTTTGAACCAGATACACTCTACACTCTGTCCTTTGAACCAGATAGATTTTGCACTCTGTCCTTTGAACCAGATAAATGATCTAATCCATGGATAGTCATGACTCTCCAGGTCTGAGAGAAGTTTGAGGCTTTTGAAGGTTTTTGTTTTCCAGGCTCTTGTGGCCTTGGATGGGTGGCTCTGGAACTGTGGCACTGGCCATCATAGCACTGGAAATGTAGCACTGGCCATCATAGCACTGGAAATGTAGCACTGGCCATCATAACACTGAAAGTGTGGCACTGGCCACCATTGCACTGGAAATGTGGCACTGGCCATCATAGCATTGGAAGTGTGGCACTGGCCATCATAGCACTGGAAGTGTGGTACTGACCATCATAGGACTGGAAGTGTGGTACTGGCCATGATAGCACTGGCCATCATAACACTGGCCATAATAACACTGATCATCATGGCACTGGTCATTATAACACTGGCCATCATAACACTGACCATCATAATGCTGGCCATCATAGCACTGGCCATCATAACACTGGCCATCATAACACTGGCCATCATAGCACTGGCCATCATAACACTGGTCATCATGGCACTGGTCATTATAACACTTGCCATCATAGCACTTACCATCATACCACTGGAAGTATGCTACTGGCCATCATAGCACTGGAAGTGTGGTACTGGCCATCATAGCACTGGAAGTGTGGTACTGGCCATCATAGCACTGGAAGTGTGGCACTGGCCATCATAGCACTGGAAGTTTGGTACTGGCCATCATAGCACTGGAAGTGTGGTACTGGCCATCATAGCATTGGAAGTGTGGTACTGACCATCATAGCACTGGAAGTGTTGTACTGACCATCATAGCATTGGAAGTGTGATACTGACAATCATAGCACTGGAAGTGTTGTACTGACCATCATAACACTGGAAGTGTGGTACTGACCATCGTAGCACTGGAAGTGTGCTATTGACCATCATAGCACTGGAAGTGTGGTACTGACAATCATAGAACTGGAAGTGTGGTACTGACCATCATAGCACTGGAAGTGTGGTACTGACCATCATAGCACTGGAAGTGTGGTGCTGACTGCTATAGCACTGGCCATCATAGCACTGGAAGTGTGGTATTGACCATCCTAACACTGGAAGTGTGGTACCAACCATCATAGCACTGGAAGTGTGGTACAGGTCTGCCATCACATATCCGGCAATCAGTTATTCGGCACTAATTTTGGCTAGCATAATTTCAAATTTCCAGGGTCGCCACACCAACCAGCTGCTACTGTTTGGTGGCGCTACTTGCTGCATAAGTCATTCCAATTTCTTTTTCTCCATTTATTATTATAGCCTGCTTACTTTTAGCCCTAGCCATGGTTCCAATGAATAAAAGAAATGCTTCTTGCTGTGTAAAGCACGTACACAGGAAATTGTCCATTAAAGATAAGGGGGCTTTGAAGCCACTGTCAGTTGCCATGAGCTCAGTCTCATGATGCAGGGGAATGTGCTTTATTATTATGCTAATATCAACACTACAGCTTATTTGCCTATACAATTGATCTAATATGTCATAATAAACAATATAAATAACATAAAAACATGTTAAATACTCCAGAATGATTAATATTTGGCATAATACCGAGCAGTTTGACAGAGGTATGAAGAGGATATGGGGGGTTTATATCAGAGAAAACGGAGTATAGCACATGGCTAACTGTGATATACACTCATACTGCACCATAAAACTGAAACAAAAAAGCTATTTTCTCTACATAGATTATCACACACAGCAGCACATGTGTAGAGAACCTAGGATAACCCAAAAAAGTCAGACAAAGTGGCTTATTTCTAGTACCTGGCTTGGGCTAGCCATATGTGGTTTTTGGTAAATATTCGATTCCCAGCCAGGGTAGAAACATTGGGAGTGTTTCTTTACACCTGTTGTCTATGTTCACCCATCAGTAAATGGATACCCAGGTGTTAGTGGACTGGTGTGGGTCACATCCTGGGACACTGACCTAATTTGCCTGAAATGCTTGGCATAACAAGGGGCTTTCTGTATAGTAGTATGTCACTGATGTCAGCTAGGCCTGTATGCCATGTATATATACATGTAGTAAATGAAGATATTATTATTATAATTATTTATTTCTCTTACTGAAACTTGGGCAATGTATGATGGAAAGATGCTTCTTAAAGTACACCAGAAATGAAAGAAATCAGTCCATAAATAGCGGAGTTCACTTCTCAGTCATTAGCAGCCTCATAGCATTATATTTTTGCATAGTTTTTATAGTTGTATTCTCATTTTTTTTCTTTTTTGGTCTCATTTGATAGAATGGAAGATATATTACAGAAATAAATATGATTTTGATTGTTCTATTATATGTATTTAGCGATGTTCAAGAGTAAACAAATGATATCACTGTCTAATACGTATGCGCCTGCCAGTTCAAATTCCAATACGCAGTCAAGAATGGGTTGACATTATTTATACAATTATTACAATAATGCAGTAGTCTGCATAACAGTAAATCTTCCATTTTTTGTGTGAATAAAAATTCCAAATGGTAAGCAAGAGTAATATAAGAGGGGCCTGGAGCCATGAATAATAAACAGAAAATGTTATTTTAGTGCTTGGAATGTCTGCATTGTTTATTTTGGACTCTATTTTGAAATTGGCATCTGTTAAAATTTGTGTGAAATTGGCCAAATTGCCAATTTCTGACCACTTTATTGGGTAGTTGAAATAGGTGAATGGGCAGTTTCTTGTATTCAGGCGACAGAATAAAAGTAAGTACAGTGGACCCTTGATAATCGTAAGGCTCAAAAGTTATAATTTTCGGAAATTGTAATGTTATTTTCATCAAAACATTGACTCACGAATCGTCGTTTGACTCGCAAATAGTCGTTCATCCTGGATGCGTACTCACGGCCCTGAGCTGCCTTGCACTCCCTTCCCAGTCAGTGTGGCATTATTTACCAGTGAGTGATGGTGCCCTCACTTGTTCATACGAAATATTTCATAATACAGTGGACCCCCAGTATTCGATGGCATCGGTATTCGATAAATCCGGTATTCAATGCATTTTAACGCAAAAATTTTGCCTCGGTATCCGATTGAAAACCCGGTATTCGATACGATTCGTACGAGACGTGTCCATGTGTGGCTTGAACTGCCCCTTGTGTGCCAGTGTTTACAAGCCAGCCAGTGTGCGCGCTTCTAAGGATACATTCAGTACTGTGAGGGAAAAGATCAGTAGATAGGAGTAGCGAGGGAGTATATAGTAACAATAGTTTCATTGCCGGCTACTTGTTAAGGTAGGGTAAGTCCAGCTCCCGCTATTCCCGCCTTTTCTCCCCCACCCCTAAAATGATAGTTTGATTGCTGGCTGCTTGTTAACGTAGGGTCAGTCTAGCTCCCACTATCCCTTCCCCTCCCTCTTTCATTTCCTCCCCCCCCCCGAAAGGTGAGTGTGGGGCTCTGGTCAAACATAAATCACTCGACTCACTAGCTCCCAAACACCTGTAATACAAGCTTGCCTTGTATTCCTAGTGGATTTTATTGGTTGAACAAAGCGTCACTTTTGACAATAATAAACTTAGTCTTTCAGCCTTGCTTCTAAGTTTGACTGTTGTAATAATCACCACTCTTTTAGGAAATTTACTTATCAGGAGAGTGATTATTTAAGCCCAGGTAACCTGTCTATCTTTTCAGCTTGGATGACAGAGATGTGTCACCGTCAGTCAACAAGAAACTGATGGAGATGGACTAACGTCCTGGAGACTCCCATTTTGGATTTAATTACCTTGCAACCTGTATGAAATTGGCAGACGTACCCACATCATTGCAGCGTAAAGAACCAGCTTCCTGTCATCGTATAAGAATACTCACGCGATACTCATGTGAAGAACTAGCCGGTTGGGTCACCAACACCTGCGACCCCCCCCCCCCCCATCAGCAACGGCTAAGATTTCAACAACACGAATGACCACCAACACCAGACACCCCAATTTATAATAATAGCGTTGAGTTCAAATGTTATTTTATTCATTTATTTTTTTCATTTTCTTTCAAATAATTATACCTGTCATGTTTTATTTGTTTTATGTTTGCTTTAATAAATAATTCAGTGTTTTATCTTTGTGAATTAATTCGTATTCTATTCATTAATTTTCTGAGGAGAGCCAGCCACTGAGTAATACTGTCTGAAGTTTATTACAGGGCTGAGTAAGCCTTCACAATGGCAAAAGACCTGCCAGGATCAACTCGACTGAATCCAGATTCAACTCCATCTCGAATCTACCATTGGAACTTCAATGCCGCATACCACAGACGGATTACCACCAGCCATGATTAATCATTCACTATGGTAGGACAACAGTACAGGTTTTAAAAGATTTGGTGATTTGTTATAGTCTCAATTTAATTGTACGTCAAGTCAGGCCAGATATAATATTTAATTCTGCCACCTTTTGGAGCTTTGAAACACTTTGGAGGATTAGACTCTAGGGAACCCGAGATTTTCCCTGTGACAAACGTTTCATTGAGCTCTGTATTATATCAAGGAACATGACATAGGACAACTCTTGATTTGTTGGTGAGAAGCTTGATGGTCCAAATGACCCCATTCTAACTTACTGTTTGCTCGGAGAGCCGCAGAGAACCTTCGTTAATTAATATATATTGTTGAATTTGAAGCAGGATCGAGCCTCTGGTTTATTTACAGTTTTGAGTGAGCAGGAATTGAACCCTCCGTTTCTTTAATTACCCATTCATTTCCCCGATAGTTTAAAGTTATTCCTTGCAAGCATGGAGAATACCAGTTTTGTATGATCGCTGGAAGTAGTTAGAGAATAACAGGAAAACTTTAGAATCTTTCATTAGTGCTAAGATCCAGGAAAGACTGAAAAGAGAGAATTGAGAGAGAAAGAAAGACAGCTAGAAAGGAAAGAGAAGAGATTAAGAGAGAGAGAGAATTGAAGAGAGAAAGCCGAGAAACAGTAGAGAGAGAGCGAGAAGACCAAAAAGAGCGTGATTAGACATGATCGTGAGGAAAGATCTAGAGAACTTGATGAACAAGCTAAGAACGTGAGGACAGTAAAGTAATAATAGAACTTGAGAAAAGAGCACAGATAGAGAAGTTGAGGAAAAAGCTAGAGAACATGAGTTAATATAGAGAGAAAAGGATCGCGAGCCCTCGAAAAAATCTCGCCTTGATTAGAGAATAAAAAAGTTAACTTTTTACACAATCAACAATTAGAGGATGGTTACCGTAACAACTGCAGTTCAGGGCACATATTCCACACCCTAATTTACCTCCTTCACAGAGGGGGAAGACATAACTTCTACAATTATCAGGTTTTGAAAATACCGCATACCCTCTGTGAATGGCCCTGCTGACACCTGGGCTACCAGGTTAAGAATGTTATTTTCTGGTACCGCTTTGAATATCTAAGCAATTTTGTCACAGGATATTATATGTAATTATAACCAACTGAAGAAGGCATCCTTAAAGCATACCAAAAAACCAACTTCTTACAGGAAAATTTCGGTATGCCACCTTAACAGGGGGCCAGAACTTTTCAGCATTTACAGGTAACACTCTTTCGTTTGCTCGACGTTTTGGATAGCGCGTTCAGAATTGATCACAGTTATGAATCTCTTCGAGACTCATGTTGCTGACGAGTCCATACAGCTCTTCCTCACCAGATACGAACATTCATTAAGAGAACGATAACCTGATTAAAGCTGAGGAAGTTGCTGAACTGCTGAAACGATGCTGAGGCTCACAATTCCTATAAAAGCCTAAAGGGATCGAACCCTAAGGGCAAGGGTTTCATCAACCTTAAGAAATCAAAGCCTCTAGAGAAATTAAATGACTTCTTTTATTCCTGTTGTCAATTTGTGTGGTGTTAAGGACATAAACGTCCAGATTGTCCTTCTAAGTAGGTCCAAAAAGTTGGAAGATGTTTTAAAGACTGTAAGTGACCAAGCACCCATCTGTTCACAGTAACAGTTAATGACTTAATGTATCTACAATTTAACGAGACAGAGATCACATGGTAGTCATATTCTGAAAGCCTGTTCCCTATCCTTCAAGAAACTCATCCTCTGCTATACTACAGACTACTTTGGCCGTACGGACCTTTTCCTACCATCCCTTTGTTACATTAGGTCTAAAATGGTTCACAGGTGTCTGAGGCGTACTAGACTCCCATCACTTCTTGCTCCGTACTAATAGGTAATGTAAAAGGTGCCATCCTTCCTTCTGAGTTGACCTTTCAATCACCATAGATGCGATATAAGTGTTTCAGATCCTCTCCTGTAGAGTCAGAGAAGCCCCTCGAAGTTCAGATGAGACAATGTCCCCGCGATATTCCAATGTGGGATTAAAAACCATGATGCTACTCTCGAAAGCGAGGAGATTAGGAATCACCGGTTTCACTTGTTAATGAAAGTGAAGATATCACCTCCGAAACTATAAATGTCTTGACTAGGCTCAGACCAAAGCCCAGGCTTCTCCTACTGTCCATCCTTTGATTTTCCCTGATTCAATCCTTTAGATGAATCAAGGACTCCTTTGTCAATTTACAACGTAAATTAATTGCCCTTCTCTTTCAGAATTGCCATAAATGCCGCAACAAATCAAAGTTATCCAAAGGAAAAACGTATCATATATATTTGAATATATAAAAAGTATCTTGTACAAGTCAGTAATTTAAATTTAAATTCAGATGAGATAGACTATTCCCGATCATAGTTGTTCCAATCAATGCCGAGAGACTGTACTTAAATGGCTCATGACCTGCCAGTGGCCGGACATTTGCTCGCATCGTAAAACTTAAATAAAATTAGGAAACCGATATTTTGACCAAAAATGTCCTCAATTCACTACCTATTGGTAGATCGTTTAAAGTTTTGCCAACTATCAGCCTCCCGAGGTACCAGGCAAGACCTATGGTCAAAATGCCTATCTTTTCAGTTCTGTTTGAAAGATACTATTGACATCGTTGGTCCTTATACTCCACTTTCACTGGGGGACATAGATATATATTAACATTAGTTGATTATGCATCGAGCTTTCTGAAGCCGTTCCTTAAAGACATAACGACTACAGAGGTGCTGAAGCCCTTTGTCCCATCTTCTCCAGAGAGTGGCATCCCCTAGAGAATTTTGGTCTGACCGTGGACACAATTCAATCTACTTAATGCAACATCTATAACCTACTTCTGGGAGTGAACCCTCTCTGCACCACAACCCTCTCATCCCCAGCAGTAATGGAGGATTGACTCGCCAGCATTCGAATCTCAAGGCCATTTTAAGGAAACTATGCTCCCTGAACCTAAGGAGTGCATCGTTACCTACCTGTGCTTTGTTTGCCATGAGGGAAGTTCCCCAGTGACTCTTTGGGTTTCACAACCTTTTGAAACTTCGCTATGGTATACAGGCCAGAGGCCCATTGTCCATCCGTCATGACTTATGGACTAAATGAGAAGGTAATGCTGAGGTCAGTCTTCTTATCATTTCTTCTCACTTGACCTTAGATCCAAACTTGAGAGACCTCTGCATAGTTTCGAAAACCTAAGCTTGTCAATGACCCAGAACAAAACCTATCTTTGATCCAAAAGTCAGAGGAGAAAGTTGTAAGTAGGAGAAAGAAGTTCTTGAACTTTTGCCTATCAAGCAAATAAATTATTAGTAGCATGGAAAGGTTCCAATAAAGTACTTAAAACAATTTGTGGAAAGTTGACTTTCCACCATAGAAGTCAAGGGGAAACCTAAGCTTTAATCATATCAACCTCCTTAAGAAATATTACTGAAGAAATCGGTTAACTGCCTTAAGAACTTGACTTAGTTTTTCCACACAACTTGATACGACAACTGAAGAATGTAAGGTGTGCGTAATTGACACCTCTAACTTAGACTATTATGAAGAACTACTTGACTTGGTGACTTTTGTCCACATCGGCGCAACCAACATTAAAATTAATGAATCTTTTGGATGAACTATAAGAGACATGAACTACTTCAATGTGTGAGTTACTTTAGGACGTCACTACTGATATTTCCAGGGTGTTACACCTACACGTAGTGCCATAAGATTGACTTAGTGACGGACAATCCTATCAAATGAAAATTTTTCCCCAGTTCCCAGTTCACCTTAGGGATGCATTTGACCGAGAGGTAGAAAAATTATTAAAACAGAGATCATTGAACCTTCAGTATCTTCATATTGTTCCCCAGTAGTCTGGTTAAAAAGGGAGGATAACTCATATAGACTTGCTATTGACTTCAGAGGCCTAATGCTATAACTCGGTGGGATGCTGAACCTATGCCTTGATAGATAGCGATCTACAAAAAATTTTAGGGACGCTTCCTTTTTTTCAGAGATTGATATTGCGCAGGCATATCATCGAGTAAATGTTAGATCCTTTT